GCAAAAAGAACAGACCCTATGCCCTACCAGTGCTATGGAGAAGCAGATCATATAAATGTCTTTTTTAAACAAGACACTCTAACCACTGGCAAAACTAAATCAGTACAGGTCACAGTGCAGGGCAGACCCCGCCAGGGAGCAGAGGTCAAGCATGTCACCCTAAATCTACAGACACCTTAGGCCAGTTTGGTGGTTTGGCTCTTAAGTTGTGTGGAAATGGAACATACCACCATTTGTTCACCAGAGATGCTCGCGATCGTAGCTCCGACAGGGAAGCCGTTATCTTTTAGGAACTGGATCAGTTTTGTCCCAGTGATTTTCCAAAGACTTTTCCACAAGCAAAACTATTACCTCAGGAAAAGTAAGTCAGGTTGCCTGGCTTACCTAGGCTTGTAGAGCAGAAGAAAATATAGCATCCCAGGTTCCTAATTCCCAGCTGGCAATTCATCGGTTCAAAAGGATGTTATATAGCTAAAATACAGATTAGTTTTTGCTGACATGACTGTCTGGGATGTCTTCTTTTATTTTCTTAAGAATGCAACGGATAGTTAAACGCTTCCAATAGTTAAGCTGATCGTATTTTATAGCACTGCGATACATCAGGTTTTGGTACAGAGAAGTGCTGAGTGATGAAAAATTTCTCTGTAAACAAATAAAAACAGATTTCCAATGGAAGTAAACTCACAATGGAAACTACCACCACAACAGTCTTTGCTCCACCTCAGGTCCTCTGTCTGCATTTTCGACTCCTGTACCTTGAGCTCCCAATGTGTCCCGGTCCCAGGCGCTCTCCTTCCCTGGCCCCTGCACATCCCCTAACCGCTGGCTGAACAAAGCAAGCACGAGCTCCAGCTGGTTAAACACCACTTCTGACACGGGAAGGCTGTAAAATAGCTGGAAGATGAAAGACTAAAAGGATGGCTATACGCTTACCCTTATTATTCTGCCTTTCCCTCAGCACCTTGCCCTTCAGTGCTGCAGGAGCATCGTGATGTTTACTCTGCCTCTATGGCTATTGCCAGGTTACGTTTCTCAGGCCAACAGGCCAGATGAAATAAGTTGAGCTCAGATTGCTGCCTTCCCCTCACAAATGGTATTTTGAGATTTATTTTTTTCTCTATCCATCCAGAAACTTTCACAAAACTGCAGGAATTTCTTATACTGCTATTTTTTACCACCCTACCATTAAGGGGAGTTGAAAACAGCCTATGAATAAATTAAAAAACACCATAGGCAAGCAGCGTGACCATCTAACTGCCTTTTTCTGAAAAAAAATAAACAAAGCAAACAAAAAAAACCCCACACACAAATACTAAGAGCACATTATGAATGACTGGAACTGAAAGAGTGCACAGATTATCAAAAGGGAAGAAATTCAACTCCCAGAGCTCGCTCGCTCTCTATCTGAACAGCGTGCTCCAGTGAGTGCAAACTGACACGGCAGGGGGAAAAAACAAAAGCAGCAACAGACTGATCCATCTTTTTGGAGCCTTATGGTTGTTACGCATCATATGAAAAGAATTTCTTGAATATATGCAGTTAAATTTAACTATCTTAAATATTAGAAACTTGGTATTTACTAAAGGGATTAAAGTATCATAGATACAGACACATATTGGACAGGATATCTTCATTAAACACAGAAGCATTGTAAGATACACAACACACTTGCCCACTACAAAAATCACAATTTAAAATCTTCAACTTAATTATGGGTATGCACAATTTTGTTTATCCTGCAACGTAAAAAACCCTCCTATCTAGTTTCATGTTGGTAAATATGAAACATGATGATCCAAACACACACAAATACCTATTTTAAAGGATCTGTCCCATATAAAGTGCCCTCCCTATTGCACCCGACAACAGCACCGGCAAATACAGCGAGTGCAGGTGTGTTTGTCCAGTGTGCCTGGAGCAAACACAATAGTTGATAATACGTCTGACAAGCACCAGAAGCTAACAGCTAGGTGCACAGAGATCCTGCTCTTCCGCGGTGCTTCTCTGGCTATCGTCACAGCAAGAGTTTCTCCAGCGGGAGCAGAACGATACTGCAGCTGCGGCGAAGGCTCCCCCGGGTTTCTGCAGTGGGCAAGACTAATGTATGGTGACAGAGAAGGAAACGCACCCCTAACAGCAAGACTAACTTTTGGTAGGGAATACACATTAAAGGGCATTAAAGGATGCAATCCTTCCCTCCCCGACCTCTGAGATTTTGGTTTTGTTACCATGTGAACATAGGCTAGGGTTTCACACGAGTGGCCAGGTCAGACTAATCACAATAGTTATTAGTTCTTCTCTCTAAATACAGCTGAGGAGCACACATCAAATGTCTTGTCCAAGGCCAACAAGGCTAGATCTCAGAGCAAGGTTTCAAATTCAAGGGTCACTGGCTCCTAATCATGATAAGAACAATCTATTTTTATATAAACATTCATTTGCACAATAACAGTCCTGTTGCCTGCAGGGAGAAGTCCTCTAGGCTGCTATTGTCAGACAAGTTAAAAATGTACCTGTGGGAATATCTCAGATACAGAGTCGGCATTGTTACGGGTTGAGTAATGCCATTAACCAGACTGTGAGAAAAGGTTACTGTTAGAATAACAGCAACTGCTAGAAAGAGGTATTTAATAATTAACTCTGAAGAAAAACTATTCAGGAAAGGGATTTCCGTCTAAGTAAAACCTGCCAGA